CATCCTTGTTAACATTATTACCCATATTCTCAAGATGGGAACTGAAGCACAGACAGGTTGCTGTGATGTCAGTTAGGAATCCTCTCGTGCAGATGGGAATTGAAGCCCGGTCTCCTGAAACCTAAGCTCTAGAACAGTGGTTCTCAACCTTTTTTGTACCAGGAGCCATTTGTAAACATTGATGGCCAGTCTTGATCCAATGCCCCTCACTCCAGACCTGCTGCCACCCACCTCCAGACCCCAACCCCTCAGTGTGTGGGGCACAGGGTGTGTGGGTGGGATGGGGTGGAGTGTGGGGCATGGGGGACCCCAAGCAGCCCCTTGCAGGCTGGAGCTCTGCCAGCCAGCAGGGAAAAAGCTGCAGTTTCCTGTGTTTTTTCTCCTTTAAAGGAGAATCCATTTTTAAAGTTTGTTTGCGACCCTTTCATATATTCTTGTGACCCACTTTTGGGTCATGACCCACAGGTTGAGAAATGCTGCTCTAGTCTAGACAAATCATTCCTCATAGGTAATGTAAGGTCAGGGGAAGAAACCGAGGCACTTGGGCAGGGGAGCTGAATAGAAACCTGCAGAGAACTCCAAAAAACATAGTTACCAGCCTGCAAAAAAAATAAGAAAATAAGAAAATCAATAAACATCTTCGGAATAAACGCTTCTCGCCTTACACATGAGCAGAAATCCTTGTTTCAGTCAGGTAAAGTAAGGGAAAAGTACAACCAGACCTTGAAGGAAAGAAGGATAGTGGGGAAGGGAAGGGAGAGAAAGAGAGTGATTTAACTGGAGCATTATCAGAGATTTGGAAGTATTAGGAACCAGTTCAGCTGTGCCCTTCCTAACAGGTGTCCACAGCATGGAAGTACAATTAATGTGTGTGCATGTTTGGGTGGGGGAAGATGGGGGAAGGAGCAGGTTCTGGGAATCTGGGGACAGAGAGGTCAGCCAAAAAAAGCACATTAAAACTAGTGGCTCATTTATGGCTAGTAGCCTAAGGCCATTCAGATAAAAATAGGAGCATTCAGGTGATGGCAGGGCTTGCTAAATGGCTTAATAATGGAACCGTTAAGCTTCTCACACTGGAGTGGCACTGACATGTCAGTAAAACCCTGGCTAGGAGCCAGTTCAACCAAAAAAGGCCCCCAACCATTATATTACATCCTGAAAATCATTTTTTCCCTTCCTTAGCCTTACTTTCTGTCACCATCCTCCTGAGTGTTCTGGCCATCTATTCCCTCTCTCCCTTTCTTTTAATCTAGTTCTCAAGAGAAGAAGATCCAATCCCACTAATCTCACAAGAGCAACAGCCGTGGGAGGCCCATTAAATCTCGTTTTCAGCTCATCCAGAAAAATTGATAAGAGGAAGAGGACGAACAGGAGAATCATAAGCATGACAGTTGCCATAAATAAGAGGAAATAGAGGGCAGATAGAAAAAAAGAGTGGAGGTTATTGAAGGAGAAGTGGTCCCGAGTCAGAGATTATTAAAATAAAGGGAAGAGAGTCCAGGTAGTTTGCCTTGGGCAGCAAGAAGTCATGATGATGGGATTCTGAAATAAAGACTCAATACTACACTAAAGATAACTGACAAAGTTGTAACTGTGAAGGCAAAGAAGCAGGAAAAATAAACAAAAAAGTCCCTTGCAGTATCACTGCAAGTCCTGGCTATTCATACATAGAACTTGCACCAAACCAGGAACCTTGAATCTAATTATTCTGGCTGGGTGGCTCAGAGGCTCTCCTCCAAAGCCATTCCTATAACAGCTTTAGTTCTGAGTTTCCTCCAGAATTGGAAGGGGGCCTATTTTCTGGTTTGGATTCAGCTGTAGCCAAACTCTCAGGAGGAATAGCTTTTGCAATGGAATGCTAGCCCACAGTGGGGTGGTTTTTTTGTTTTTTGGGGGGTTTTTTGTTTTGTTTTGTTTGGGGTTTTTGGGGGGGGGGGG